TAAATTTCTAAAGGGGGGGGGGGGTCATATTTCTACTAAAAGTATTGATGGTTTAATTCCGAGAGGTGTCATATTTTTGAATAAATTTGTTTCTATATCCACACCCGTAAAGATGATTTAATTTAATTAAATATTTTTTATTTTTGTTTCATATTATCCTTACTCCCCATAGATGATGCACTGCTTTTCATACCATCATACCATCCCAATTCACTCATTTTTTTTTTATAATTGGAAGACCCAATTAAGGTCACTTGCAAGTCACACTGTTTTGTTTCCGAGGGGTTCTGTTTTTGTGTGTATCCGAGTGGTATAATTTTTTCACATACCCATTTGTATACGTCAAATCTGTAAAGTTTCCAGGGGGCTGTGTTAGTTAACAAAAAAACAACACCTGAATGGTGGATTTTTAATCCATAGGGTGTCATAACCTTAATATCCATCCGTAGGGAGGGGGGGTGGACAAAAACTTGAATGACCCAATAGTCCGGACAAAACCCAGAATTAATTTAAACATAGAACAGGAAGAAAATCATGAAAATAGTTAATGATATAATTTAAGCTATTTATTTGTTTATTTATTTACACACTAGTAGCTACGCGACGATTGGCTTTTGTAGTGAGTAGCTTTCGCAGTGAGTGGGGCTTTGTCACAGTAATTTAATCTTCATATTAATATACTTTTTTTTGGCCGTCTACTATATACATTATAATTTACTTTCAGTGTATACAGGAAATCAGACTAGACTAGCAGTTAGCTATTTTCTGATTTCCTTTTTACCCAATATGTATATATGTATTTTTCTTACCATTTGTTTTTCTTTGTATGGCTTACTTTTGTTATTTTTTTCAGTGTTTCTTATTGTTATTATTATTATTGGGTAAATAAATAAATATTATTATTAATTTGTCCTATCATCGCAGTTGAGAAGTAGTGTCAATTAACAACCGGTGTTAATATGCAAAAACCATTCTTAGGATCTGTTAATTTGTCCATATGAATTTTGAGTTCCTAAATAATACCCATGTTATGGTATTGCCCCCTAGTTTTGACCAAGGAACGTTTGACCATTTATAGATTGGGCTTTGCATTCTTGTTATACTGCTTAGTGACATACTATAAGTTATGATCTTATTGGTGTTGCAGCATAGTTTAATATTGTTTATTGAAATTAATAATCCCCAGAACAGTTATATACAATTCAGTATAGATAAGAAATTATAATATGAAACATATGTATATGTAGGTATGCAACAAATTAAAATTGAAATAAATTGCAATATAAGATATTCTAGCAGTGAAACTTCTTGATGATCGGTGTATTTCGTGGTCAGTGTTACCAAGTATTTAAAAATACTATTTTTTCTGATTTTATAAACTGGCTTGGCGATTCTCAACACTTATTTGATATAGTGTCACATAATTGGGAATTTTTTTTAGCAAATTCAAAATCATTACTTATGATAAATACATTATCATTGCATTTGAGATTTTTTATTATTTTAATGGATGTACATATTTTAATAGTAAGTAAAGTAAGTAAATAACTTTATTGATTTTGTGTCCTTATTGGGATCTTGAAAATAATACAATAAAGAATGTTGTTTAAATAAACAACAGCTAGCTAAAAAAGTAACAAACTAAAGTAAACAATCAGAAAATTAGATCAATAAGTAAAACAGAACAAAAATAAAAAACACAAGAAATGTAAAATTATTTTGGGGCAGCTGGTGGTTTTTTCAGTGCAATATCTCTGCAGTTAAGGTAGCGAGACTATTATTTGTGTTGAAAATAACGATTTTCACATTTATTTATTAATTGATGAAATGCACTATAAACTTTCATATGATAAAGTCAACATAACATAGAATGTCATGTAAGTTGGTTAAAATGTATATTTTCTGAAGGGAAGCAAGGCAGCCTCAGTAGTGTTTTCCAAAATCAACAATACAGGTTTAATCTGTGTGCCTATAAATTTCAAAGATAAACTCAAGACAAAGCAATGTTAGAATGTGTTATCAGTAGCTATCTGACACACAATGAGTGTTTCCAAACATTCGAGTGGTTTGTCTCCGCCCCTGTTTGTTTCACAGATTAGTCATTTGCATATGAATGTGTCAGACACAAGGTCACACAGCCACTGAAAAAAAATCATTGATTTTGGTGTTTTCATATGCCGAATTTATCCAATTATAGCTATCCCATTCCTTTATTTTTTTGGTTTCTAATAGCCTTACACATTTGGATGCCCCTACACATGGTAAAACAGACCTTGATGGGAAAACAAATTGATTGTGCCGATAAACAAGCTTGAAAATCTTTGCTGTTACTTCATGGACGTTTTCTAGGAGTTTATGTTTTTCAAAATACAAGGTCTTTAACAAAAAATAACGTATACTTATTGTCGTCTGATTAACACCAAATTTTCACAGCTTTAAGGTGACAATGAGAGGAACTTGAATGTGTCCAGACAAACTATTTCATCGATTATTTACCAACGAGTTGTGGTTTGAGTTGGGGGCAATGTGACTAAAACAGT